GTCAAAAAAGAATTTAGGTCCTAGGATTCTAATAGCATAGGCTCTATATACTCAATAGCTATCCCTTACCTACTCTATCACTAGCAGAAAGTCAAAGGTATCGTCGAGCGGACCTGTCCTTCCTATAATACCTCGATACCTATCTTGGATAATCATAATCACAGCGTTGTCGCTCTAACAACTCAAGAACCTTTGAAGCTCCTATAAGGCGGTAGTTAATAACGTATTAAAGTGCTAAGTCAATAGGGCTAATTTTAGAATAGTGTTATAGCTTAAATTATATATAATCTACTTCACTGATGTATAGATATCCTTTTTCAGATCAGGCCCCTAGAGTTCTCTTATAGCCTAGTAATAATCTAGCAATAGCCTAGCGTCGTCACTAAGATCCTATGTAGGATTCCACTTCCACTTCCAGAAATTCGGAGAGCCAATCCGCAAAGAGAGCAGTTCCACTAAGGCGATTTTTGCAGGACTTTCTAGGAAAGCGGAAGGTATAGGTGAGGCCTCCAAATATCAGTATCGCGTGGCAACCGGAAATAAAGGACACTCACTATAACTAGACTATTCTTTATTCTCAAAAATGATAAATAGGTAGTGTATAGCTATATTAGGGCTTTATAATCTCTAATCCGCGACGATATATTTCTTAGGCTTTTCACTATCTATATTTTTCTTTCCTTGACCCGAATAGCTTGATTATGGAATACCTATCTATAATATCTTTTCAAACTATCTTGCCTAGATTTGTCCAGAATCTCTTTACGCGCAAAGACGACGCCTCCTTTTGGGGAGGAGAAGAAGATCTAGACCTAATAACCCACTATATCAACACTCTATACGCACGCACTAGAACAGTAAAGTATAAAGTGGCATATAAAGACCTCGTAGTTTCCCCGAATAAACCTAAAAAGCAGATATAGAGTAAAAGTACAAATTCTCGCTAAGCTAAACAAAGTTCCAGTGGGTTTATTATACGGAATATAAGTTATTTGATATTGCCTTCTCACTTTACCGTAGCCTCAAAAAGCAGATACCGCGCCGCCACCTCGCAATTAGACGAGACGATAGATAGTAGGGTTATCGAGCTTCCCTCTTTACCTATAGGTATTCATTTTCCTATCAGAGGAAGAATACTTATAGAGGCGAACGAAGATAATTTCTCTCGGGACTAGACGCCCTCTAAATAGCGTCCGTTTCTTGAATATCTATTAGGAGAACGCTAAGTTAATGGATCTAGAGTATATCCTTTCTCTTTGCCTCACCACATCAAGGCTATCTCTAATGGTTCCCTAGATAACTTATTTAAATATAGCTCTGTTAGCCGAAGTGAAGGAATTCCGTTATTTTGGAGGTATAATATATAATCATAATACTATTGATAGTCCGGATATACTCCTTGCGGTTTTATATCATAACGGAGCTTATGAAATCGTGCGTTGCGGTTTATAGGTTTATGGAAGACTAAGGTATATATCTGATTTATTCCGGCTATATTTGAAAATTACCGAAGTAAAGGAGTTAGTGCCATAGAAGGACTTAAAGGGCGTCAAGAGGGACAAAATGTTACGTATTGAAAGGCCTTTGCTTTTTTGACTAAAGTGCGCCTATAATCCTAAGCTTAGCAAAAGTCTTTATATTATAACGTGCCCTTAGATTAATTGATATAACGATGATTTATTAGCTCGGTTATAGCTTAGTCGATAGAAAGCACTGCCTATTAAGTAAATAATCTTATTAAGTCGCTTTTTTGTTGGTGATAGTAAAATTATTAACTATAATGAATCTCTAGGCCCTAAATAGTAGCTCACAATATCTCGCTAAGAGAGTCTTCCTTAGTCTTCGATTATATAAAGAATTATAGAATACTTAATAGTCGCGTGAGGCCCCTAATAGGTGTTAGTTACCTACTAAATCCTTAATCATACTAGGAAATACCTATAGGATTTCAAGATAAACCATTAAAGCCTTTACCTAGATAATTGGAACGACACTTAGCTCCAAGATAGATAGCCAAGTTTAACGGCTACTTAAAGACTACCGTTATCTTTTCACGATAAGTTCAACAATCTATAATATAACGTTAAAAAGCGGCTTTCTCTTCTCCCATACGATATCTATGGGGACGTCTTAGAAGGCTAGATTAGGATAATTGAACCAGAAATCAACTACTTAGGAACCGAAATCCTAACCTAGTGGCTAGAGGCTATAACCTTTATAAGACCTTAGGTTATACTAAAACGGGGTAAGTAGAAATAACTATCATTATATATTCTTTAACATTAACTAGGAGAAGAGAAAGTCAAACTCTTAGGCAGTCTACTATATAGAAAGCTACTTAAAGTTGTGACAGCTCAACAGCTAAATGATTTAGTATAAAAGATATAGCGCCTTCGAAGCTCGGTGTTGTATAGCGGGACGCTCGCTAAAATCCTTAAGGTTTTCCAAAATCAGTAGATAAAGTCGAGCTAATATTTTATTGAAATATCAGGATTAGATAGAGCCAGTACAAGCTATACTATAGTTTGAAACCTCCTTGTTATACTAATAGCCTTGATCTATAACTTTGGAGATAGTAAATGCTAACTATATTTAAGTTAATACCGCTCTACTACCTTTCTAGAACCGTAAGACCTACTCGCGGTCCCCCTCAAAAGCGACGTTAGTTAGGCAGATCATCATCGTGAACCCTGATTTCCCGGGATTTATAGTGGACCTAAGCTATAAATTTTTTATAGAGTGGCAAATATATTCTTTATAAGGATAGCTACTATAAGTGTCGTATACATCGAAAAAGCTAATACTAACGTCACAAGATATACTAGTGTAACTCGTGTGGCTCTTTGCGGAGGAATACTTATTCCTCGTAATAGCCTACTTCCTATTTTATTGTAGAATCCTATCTCTTCTCAGAATATTCAAGCAGATGCACGTCTAGGTGTCTTAAAGCTTATCGTCGTAGCTAAGTCCGTTCTTTCTCTTTATTGGATAACCTAAGACTAATCACTTTATTATATAGATAGCTACTCGGTTAGTCGGCGTTCGTACCTTTGTATCTATTAGTTAATACACCCCGATAAATAAAATCTCGACTAAACTTTTAGGGCTTTTTCTATCAAGGTGGCAATATCAATACCTAGTGAACTACTAATGTCGGTGGTCTCACGCGGCTAGGAAAATATTCTATGGATCATTGCTAAACTTAGATAAGAGTATTTGAAAGCTAAGTAAATTGTCTTGCGGAATAACCAGCACTAAGTAATTGGATTGCTTTCTGTGTATTTAAGCAATCTTTATACTCCGTACCTATAACGCTGTTAAACAATCTTTTCTACAGTATAGGATAGATCGATATTAGTTTCACCGCTTTGCTTTTATAGAATCTTTCTAGAACCCTACAGTGAAACACACTAATCTATAACTAGCTTAGTTTTATTTCAAAGATCGTTTTGTACCGAAAGGTTTAGATACTACGAGACTTAGTCGCGTAAAATACCGGAAACGCTCGATAATTAATACTGCCGCCTTATTGGCCTTATTCGTGTGGCCTTTCTATTATTACCGTCTCCACTCTTGGTAGCGAAGTTAGATTAGATAGTGAGGTCTATCGTTTTCACGTAATATATATTAGGCTAAGCCATAATGGCAAAATCGTTCTAGGGGGTTAAATCATTAGGCAGCAATAAGTATATACATAGTGTCTAGCTTGTCTAGCCATTTAAATCCAGCTTCTTCGTGTCCTATTCTAGTAATACTCTAGAAGTAAAAAGGGTATTAGATATTTGCAATATATACACTCTATTAGAGGCTCTAATATTTTAAATAGGACGATCCTCTAGATATACCTAAGCCCTACTTTAGTTGTTGCCCTTAATGATAATCACTATTCCTTAGCCAGGAAGACTCCGATTTCCCGGTATATAGTATATCTTAATGACTAGATTGAGCCCCAATCGTCGAAGGGATAAGGATATTATCTCCATTTAATCAGGCAACGCCATAGCTCCGTTAAACCAAGCACAAACGATAGTTATATCTATAGAAGGAAATTGGCCTCTATACTGTTGATATAGAGTAGCGACTCGACCTATTATATAATGAACGTTGTTATCACCGGCAAATGGATTTGGTGAGGGCTGCAATGGTTATAGTGGGATATAGGCGAGAATGGCACTATAAACTAATATTATAATAACGATAGAGCATGATCCGAGGTCCCTAGTACTAATAGCTAGCATTTGTTGGAAAGAAATAAATTAAACGTGTCCCATCGGGATAATAACAACTACGCGAGAGGCTTGCCATTAAGCGAGGATACCTAGCCCGGACATTGTGAAGGCTTTTGTGAAAAATTTAAATATATATATCTAGTTGGAATATCTGGGAATGATTCTTTCCATCCAGAGTCAATACCTAATACTTATAGTTATATAAATTTCCTATTCCTAAAAAGGCTATAATAATAACACTAATATTAGTGGGCGGCTATGCCTGCAAGGTGAAACAATTAAGCGTCTAGGTTACAGTATTTCGAAAGCGAATCGCCTATCTAACCTAACCGCCTCTCAAGCCAACCAATCACTCTAATAGGTATAGTGAATCTAAGATGATAATTAGTTATTTCGAGAGCCCCACTTAAGTTAGTTGTCATAGTGCATCTAAGTGCCAAACTCTATCCTACGCCTATAACTTCAAGATATCGCTTTTGTTAGGGATGATATTTCCTAGTGGGTCTAGCCTCTAATTGGTGGGTTCGGGGATCCGGTATACCTATAGTTTTAAGTCCCGTGACTCGGAATTACTTTAAATACCCCACCCTCGCTAGTAGCTACCTACGTATAGAATTCCTACTTCACTCAAGCTTTAGTTAATCCTTGCTAGACTTTCTGCTATTGACCTATCTTATTATAGACGTCCTACCTCCGCTAGATTACCCTCCTGTCAACTCGAGTGACTACTCTTAAATTCCAACCCGAACGCCACCCGCGACGCTCTAAAAAATGTATATATTTTGCGTCAGTGGGGACATTCAAAATTTCCGGGAGATTCTTGACTCGCCACGGTCTTTTCCGGATAGATCTAATATATACGACTTGTCTGCTATGATGATCGAAGCTATTAAACGAAATAGTGCGCAATTTATCACGGAACTCCTTCATCGCGGTATGCTAGTGGATCCACTCTATGCCTTGGAAGCAATAAAAGTGAAGGCAAAAGACGCTCTTTAAGCTTTCCTTGATAATGGTTAGGATATCAATTAGCCATTGAGCGAGCTTAAACCTCCGGTACTAGGGTGAGTCTAACGATCGCAATATATTCCAAGATTTTAATAGATATATCTTTGACTATCTTCTAGATATACTGTTATAGATGAGGAAATAATAGCTTAGCTTCTTGATTATAAAGCTAATCCCAATCGACAATATATTGTTGATCTCACACCACTTTCCCTTGCGGTCGAAAGCGCTCCTATATCCGTTATTAATCTTATGCTTAGTTATGGCGGAAATGTTCGAAAAGGCCAACTTCTCTATTATGCTATTGAGCGGCGATCGGATACTATCGAAGTTTTGAAGCTTCTCATTAAGAAAGGCGCACCTATAAATATAACCATTTACGAAGACTACCCTTCTTGGGCGTTATTCCATTTTATAGGTCTTAGTACACCTCTATATAGAGTATCCGAACTAGGAAAAGCGGATTTAGTTTCCTACTTAGTCAGTAAAGGAGCTAACTAGAGTATTAAAGATACAAAAGGTCGTACACCTTTAGAGTGTGCGCAAAGGTTGAATCAATAGGAAGTCATTAAGGCATTAGAGAAAGGGAAATAACTCGATTTTCCCTATACTTACATTCTTTTGGTTACCTCTTTAGATAATTAGAATATTTGATCCGTTAATTCGAATATGTTTTTTCCGCTTTAAGTCGAATAATATTTCCATTAGACTTATAGCGCGCCTAGCCTCGTTTTAGCTACTTATTATTAAGCTATCTCGTAATATTAAATAAATTCCCTATAAGCTAAAATTGGGTACTCGTTATGACGATAAATCACATCGATCACCTAGACACTATTCGGCCTAGGCGTATTGATAAGAAAGTGCATTTCAAGCTTGCGGATAATAAATTTCCGCTTAACTCTTTTATATTGTCTTTAAGTAGACGGCCGACCATAAGCAATCCAAGGAGGAATTTAGCGATGAGACGATCGAAAGACTCGCTAAGGAGTTTACAGCTAAGGTGCTAGAGCACATTTTTAGTCTAGCCGAAGTTTTATTATTCCTTTTGGAGCGGAAGAACTCACCTATTAATGCTATTATAGGTATGGAAGACTAGGTGGCGAAAGCAAAGGACGTAGAGAGTTAATTAAAGAGAAAGGGTTCTTAGGTACAAGAAAGCGAATATTAAGAATAAGAATAAGTAGGCAAACCGAATAGAGGGGCGAAGGAGCAATTTGCCAAGGATAAAAACCAACGACGTTTAGGGATAGAGTTTGCTAGCTAAGTGTTAGTTAAACGACTTTTTAAAGCGTCTCGGTATTTTTATCTTCCCAGCACTTACTTTTTACCCTTTTAGCGGTCTTTCTTAGCCTATTTATTATAGGTCACCGTAATATTTTAATTGTTTCCCTAATATTCGCTTATTAATTTTGAACGCACTTATTAACCCTGCAATCTTTAGCCAATAGGTAGTAGCTTAGACTTTGTCCGCCTAAGGCTAACGTAAGTCGAGTAATAGGATTATAGAGGACGCCCTAGCAAAACGGTTTAGAGTACGCAGTACTAGTTCTAGGAACGCTTTATTATTATATATAATGCGATCGCTAGTCTAATGTAGCATAATTAAGTAACCTTATCTTATATAACGCGTATACGTTTTATATCTCCTAACTCCGTCCTATATAACTCTCTCTTCGCCGGCCGTAATCGCTTTAGGGTTGGTCGACATTTCAATATAGAACGGTGAAAGTCGATAATCAACGCCCGCCTGAGCTCTTCGTTCTAGAGGATATTGTCCCACCGAAGGTCTTCGTGAATGATTCCTAAGACTCTGATTTCCTTACTCGACCTACGGATTTCCTGACGAAGCCACGGCGTTAGCTCTATCGTTGCTATACTCTCGCCCCCCTAGCCTATAACGAGTATATACCGAATCTCTCTAGCCCTATAGAGAAAGTAAATTTTTGCTAAGTCAATCGTGCCTAAGAAGACAGGCACAGTAGACCCTTAAGCCTTCCGCAAAACTTAATATACCTAGGCTTCGCGGGAGACTTCTTTCTATAGCCCCGAGGTAGTGCCTTTTCCGACAATAGTGTAGCCGTATTCTATATATATTAGTTTGAAAGGCGCGCCGTATGCCCCGCATTCTCTAAAGGGCGTACATCGGTTAATATTTTCATCGAGTTATGCTTTTAATGAAAGCATCAAATCCTCCGAGGTGATTAGATACTCAGTGAGGTCATCTTAACCCCGACGATGAAACTTTACGTTTAGACAAGAATTATCTAGGATATTCCTAGTCTACATTCTAAGTAAACATCGCTATATACAAAATTGCGTATCGCGGTGTCGTGACTAGTTGCTTTAGTTATTAATATCCTCGCGTAGACGAGCTGCCTATTAGGTAGACGGGGAAGAAGTGACTTAGCTAAAGCCCCGTTTGCGCCCTGTCGCTTCCTTTAAGTCGGAGCCTAATAAATCTAGTGACTACGAACGTCGTTGGGTATTAAAGGGCGTATAGCTAGTTTGAGACCTTGTGCGCACTTAACGGCCTACTGCTAGAGATTCTAATGGAGACGACGATGGTTGGTATTCTAAGCTCGGTTCCGGACTTATATATTCGGAGTTAGTACTATCCGAGTATAAAGTAATTTGCTGTAAAATTGCTTTAGGAATCTAAGAATGAGTATAGTCAAAGCTAGTAGTCTAAAGAGGAAGCTACGACCGTGCGTTATTTCTCTATTCCTGATCACGTATAGGAGAACGAAATGCCATTAAATATAGACATAGTACTCGCGTAATTAAGGTCTTCGGTTCCGGGAAAATCTATTCAATGTCGCTCTCTAATTTATTGTTGGGATCATAGAAAAAGTAATATAAGGTGCTTGGTTTATTATGCGGGATACGGAGAAGAATATAGGTGATTCTATTTATTAAGTAGGAATACTCGAGTCCCTCCTAGATCATAATATAATATTCCTAGACAATAGTGGAGCAAACGAGTCGCTCTACGTTATATTTCAACTTCTTCGCCTCGTCTTGCGGTATTTTGTTTAATCTAACTATGTCCTACCATAAATTTATTAGCCGAAGTCTTAGGCGGAGAGTGGCTCGCGAAAGCTTATAAAATGGTTTATATTTAACTATAGTGAGAAGAGCGCTAGTATTACCGTTAAGTCGATAGATACAGAATTGGTTAGGTCTTAGATAGTGTATACTTAATGGCTGGCTTAGATTTGCTTCGCTGCTATTAGTTAGGTTAAAAGAGTTTTTGTGATTGTCGAACTAGACGCTATCTCTAAGTCCGAACTTATCTTGGGCAGTATCGATTTTGTATAGCTCTACTATTATATCGCGAATATAGTCTTCGACGGCGATTCGCTTATATATCTCGACACCTTGCTCACTGCTAATTGGCTAGAGGCTGAATTGTCTAGTATACTCTTTAAGCGCAATTACGGGGGTAAATAATTATACTTGGGCTTTCTTAGTCGGCTAGAGGTAGTTATATATAGAATTATAGATTTCTTGCTATAGGACTACACAATCGGTCCATGGTTTAAGTCGTAGCGGGCAGTATTTTTCCGAGGGTAGAGGTATAGTACCTATAGTCGAGCGAGATAGTATATTAACTCGTAATGGTAATAAGAGGAGGTTATAGCAATAGTAAATAAATTCCATAAAAGAGGTCTAATAGGTGCGCTCTTCGGCTTACTTTTATCGCGCTTTAGCTTGCTGCTATTGTACTTCTGCTTACTCCCGTTTAGCTCTTTCTCGCCTCCCTTTATCCTCTGCTTACTTCCGCCTCTCCTCTACCTATAGAAAGAGGCTTTTGTAATCTAGGGAGCTATTATCGGCCATCAACGTTGTCCTAAGAGGGAGAGGCAATAGCTTAAGCTATAATAGTTCCCCGACTAGCGTACCTAGAAGGCTTTTGTTAGCGGAACGTGGCTCCTGGCAAAGGTGTTTCTCTAGTAAACGACATAACGTATTAAGCCAAAGGCGGTAGGGGCACTACAAGGCACTAGTAGTTTAGAAAGGGCACCGCAGCGAGCTTAGGCCGCCTAACTAACGCCCCGGCCTTCTAAAGAACCACTAATTAGAGTCTACTGCGGTATAAACGGATCGCCAAGAGTTTCTAAGGCGATGTTCGTCAATAAAGTCATACCTCACTAGGCGCCCTTCCCTATAGAAGACGCAATACCACCGTAGTTATTATATAAGATTGAAGTAGGTCGGGAACAGAATCGTGCTATAAAAATAATTACCTCAAGATCGTACGTACACTTAAGCATATTGGCTAAGAATTGACTAAGGTTTAAAGTCAGTGCACCATAAAACCAATTCAGAATTCTATTATTAATTGTGGCTTATACTGTATCTATGTAAAGTACGTTAATCTTACTCTCAATTCCATTAAAGTATTTTATAGGAAACCAACGCCGAGGGGAGGGGGAGCGGGCTAAAGGGTATTGAATAGAAATCGATAATAGGTCAAAAAGTTAGTAAGCGATTTTTAGGGTTAGTTGCCCATTTATTAAGGCAAGATAAAGCTTCCTTAGCAACTGCTTCGGTGCTAAAAGGTCGCTAGGCTAAGGAGTTATTAGATTCTATATTAGTAGATTCTACCTACGCTTTAATATCTTACCGTGAAAATTCTTTAGGAAAATTGCCTATCATCAACAAATAAACGACCGCCGCATCTAGTGCAGCGTAAGGTTTTACGGTTTGCGGATTCTCGTGCAGTATATATATAATTATAGCGTCCAACGGGAAGCGGTTCTAGTTTCTATATTCGGTTAGTTTGGTTGTAGTGGTGGAGGGAATAGCGGATAAAGTGTGACTGACATTTTTTTGCCCGCTTCCTTGCTATATCGTAGGAGGAAGCTAGGGCTAAAGAAAGTAATACACCACCACTAATACTCACTAATTTTCTTTTTATTGTGAAATGACTTATGGAGCTTTCTCTTCTCCGCTAATCCAAGGCCTCTCGAGTTACACAACTTACTAATAGCGTTTCTTTTCAAAGTAGTGTTCGCTGTCCCGCGTTGACGTTTATATATAATTTCTCTTTTAAAGAAAAGGAATAGGGAAACTCTTACGATGCGAAGTTTCACGTTATATATATCACTCTCCTTTTGCAAATTAAGTAAATAGGTTATAAGCTCGGTATGGTCTTGTCTAGGGGAGAACTTCGAAGATTTATTGGTGTTCCAAAGTGGCGCGTTCTAGAAGCTAAAGAGCTTCCACGCCCTAGAATATTCCTCTATAAACGTAGCGAGACTGTTTAGAAGGAGATAATCGCCTATACGCCGGACTTAAGCCCTCTACTTCTAAGTGATTTGTGAAAAGGCCGACGATATATAATTAGGCTTATGCGGGCCAATATCGTCTATTGCTTTAGTCGATTATATCGATAACGGACTTGTTAGCCTCGAAGGGGGCTATAATAAGGGGCTCTAGGCTTCTAAGTCTTCGTCGTCCTCGCCTACCGAGGAATAGGAGGTTGTCGATTCTATATAGGCACTAAAAGAAAAGTCCTCCGATAAATGATTCGTGGTGCTCGGTGTTAAAGAATTATATTCTTCTAGCGAAGTAACGCTATATTTTCGCTTAAAATTATTGATATAATTATCATCGAATTGTTTAGTATCCTCGCTCGATACTACTAATATATTGTCACTAAAATCACTTATAGTGGATAGGATAGAAGCCCTGCGCGGAGACGCTACAGCCTGAGGTTGTACATTCTTAGGGAGATAGTCGGTAGGTTAGGATAATAACTAAGTCTTTATTGCTGAATCCTCTAAATTCGCCTTAGAGGTGTCGATGTTCTCTAAGATAGGAAGTATATAATCTCGGATAGACTATATATTTATATCTTTAAAGCTATTATCATCCACGAATATATTCTTAGTGACATTAGAGAAAGCTTCACCCGCCAGTTAAGACTTAGCTGAAGTGTTTCTAGCTCCACGAGTGTTGGGAGGTTAGTCGGTAAAATGAAAACTAGAGCTAGGGGTCTACGACGGGCTTAGCAGAAAACTATAGCTAGGTGTTTCTTCTGTAGACCTCTTCGCTCTTTTGCTTAATGGCATTAGCGTGTTTGGCGAACCTAAATAAGGAGTAGGATAAGAAACGGCCTGGCTTAGACTAGGAGATCTAGTAGAAACCTTAGCCACGAGTGAATAGTTCTCACGAGCCACGTTGTCACGACTCTTATGATATCCATCTTCAGAACTCGCTGTTTCCGTCTCATTAGTTCCCTCTGGTATAAAGCTAACCGAATTTTTATAGGGTAAAAGCGCGTTTGAGATCTTGCGATCTAACCCTTTATCGTGGTCGTAGGCAGGGATTTAAGTTGTTGGTACGCTGGTTATAGACTCGACATCGATATCCATACTCTATAGGGCTTGGCTACCGATTCCTTCCGTCGGAGGATATAAGGAATCGAGATTATTTAAGGGATTGTTAGGGCGGGGAGAGTCGAATAACTAGAAGTCTAAATCAATAATTAACTAAGAGTTCCACGTAAAACTAGCCGCAAAGAAATAATAGTAGGGTAGGTAATTTGAATCACGATGTTATAAGACACACCAGACGAATACTAATTCGAGCTCGCGTCGTCCACTGCCCTATTAAGACTGGCTTAACTTAGGGTAGGAGCTGCTTTTGGAATGACATAAGACGATAGATTATAGGGCGCGTCCAACCGAACGATATTCAGAAGAATAGGTGTTTTGCTAAGAATCTCTTATCGCTCTAGTGGATCCAGGATTACAGTAGAGGCCAAATTAGTAGAGAGTCTTTCGGCGAACTAGATAAAAATTAGTTATTTGCTAATGTGGGCGCGAAGGGGCGGCTTCACGTTAGCTTCTCTTGACTATACTCTATAAAATGGTATCTTATCGAGTGGTATCTATATCTTTGTTAGTTAAGAGTATATAGTTGTCCAAAAATCCCTACTTACCTTAATTTGAGCGGTTAACTAAGCGGAGGAGAGGGATATCCTTCAAAAGCTAATTAAAAATAATAGTCGAGAGGATAGTGAACAAAACGCTAAGAAAGAAGCGAGCAGTGGGCACTAATGAGGCGTGCAAAGGAGGGAAAGGGCTACGTTAAGCAGAACAAGAAGGAATAGAACGATAGGCGTGAGAGAAGGGTCCTAGTTAGGGGTGGACGGGGTAATAAAGCCTTTACTGTAAACGATAAAAATAGGCTATAACGCCACCCTTTTGAAAATCCCCCCGCCCCCCCTTTCTTCTTGGTTCCACCCTTTGCGATGCTAGAAACCGTTGTAGCATTATCATGACAGTATTCTATCCCTAAATAATTAGAGTGTGTTCGCTACTATATATATTCTATTGTACTTACACGATCTTTCCTCTCGTGCGCTTCTTTCTTAAGAGGCGATCTAGGACTCATTGTAAAGTGTCTAGGTCGGATCCGACTACTCAAGGACTTAAGTTGCAAAGGTTAACGCCGGCTGTGCCTCTCAAACGGCTATTCTATATCGCCTAAAAATACTCCTTTTTTTCCCTAGCATATCTCTCTATATAGTCTTGGCTCGGTTCGTGGGTTAAATAGCAGTGGAAATATATAAAGCTAGGGTCCGAAATATCGAACGATTAAGGCAGTGGGCGGCGATTTATGGCATTGACTAGTCGCCGGAAAAATATATCCTCGTTGACAAGCGTGCCCTAAGGTTACGAACATTTGCTGCGTAGATTCAAAAATATTAGCGAATCAGAAGGACTATCGTACCTAGTATATAGTTACAAGATATATTCGTTTTCGGAGCTACCTAGAGGCTGCGATCATAGTCTACGATCATAGTCTTATACTGATAGGGCTACGCTTATGAAGAGCACTAAAGGAAGCGTTCAGGTGGTCTGATCCTTTTGCTGTCCCACTTTAAATTGTTAATTGTTCCAACCGCCGAAGCAGGAATCTTTCCTCCATGCGTCCAGTAACTTGCTTAGCTAATACGTCCGGAATCAAGACTACTTAGTCATCTCCAAGCTAGATCCGTTTTCCTTGGGATAGCCCCTTCCCTAAGGCTCAGCGGTTCGGGTCTTGCGAGGGTCCTCCTTAGGCTGCGGCGATGCTTAGCAAGGGTGACTAAATCCTATACTAGTGTCCTCCCTTTCTTCCTTTCCCTCCAGTCTTAGTCTTCATCTTTCACCCCCCATAATAAAGGCTATGCCACTATTAGTTATATATTAGGCTAGGTTTCATATGTGTTTCGGTAGATATAGGGATTGGAAGGGCAGCTAGGGCAACAAGGCTAAAAGTCCCAAGGGACGCAACCTGTAAGTCTACGTGAGGTTTCAAAACCTTAAAGGTTATAGTGGGAGGTTGTAAAACCTCAGTTTCGAAACTACTGGGAATCCTTCTAACTATTTTTAGATGCACTAGTCTTTTGCTTACCGGGATACGATACACCGCCTTATTTTGCCACTATATAGGAGGTTTTAACCCTCCAGGACTAAGGGCTCAATTTAGAACCATCAGGTTCTATTTTTGGCATCCTAATAGATAAAATAGATCAGAAAGATAGAAAGAACAGAAAGAATATATAATGACATACTGGAAGATTTACCTTAAGAGAGCCTTGATTCGCGATTAGTCGCCACTGTCTAGAACATCAACGAGCGCAGGTGAAAGAAGGCAATAAAGATAGGCCGTTAAGAGACGCGATACAGTTAAGCACGGGTTGAAGATATTATGGTGCAACATTCTAATAAAGAGTGTAAACAAAATTGAAAGAAGATATAGGGATTCCTAGGTACCAGAGCATACACCTCTACACTAGTTATAGTTATAAGCCAATAATAGTGATTAAACACCCTCTGGTGCTGGTGAAGAAGGCCATCAAAAAAGATCCATTTCTCCAATCCTGCCCCTACCTTAGGTGTGAGCGCACTGTTTAGGAGCCCTTATATTTGTGGGCGGAAATACGTCATTGCGGGTAAAGAGTAACGTATCTATAAATGTGTATAAAAAACGACACTTCTTAGATGTTGATCTACCTATAGGTAAACGATCGGCGTGCGGCGTTGAGACGGCCCGTAGCAGAATTGTGCGGTCACCTTTTTGGATCGTACAAAGCGGATCATCAGATTCTAGGTAGGAATTGATCTAAAATAGCGTCGTGGTGCTTCAACCGCCTACCGCACTATATTTGGAGCGACTGCAATCCTGGAGCACCTAAATAGTTTCACTAGTTAAATTTAGCTCAACATTTAAAAGACCACGATTTTTTTATCAGAAAAAGCGTGGCCCTCTACGTGTTCAAAAATGGAAAGCCCCTTTTTGCACATTTATACCGCCTTAAATTCTTTAAATGCCCTTTAAGAGCGCTTGTTCCCTATACGTGCCTCTAGGTGCACTCATTTACAGCGCCCTCAAGGAGCAAGACGACCAATATCAATAGCTATTTTAAGTTCTAGTCGGTTTACTACTTTGGCAAGGAGAAAGTCGATACGCCAGAAACGATGTCGCTATAAGCATAGCCTAATAAAAAAGGCATATAAATACAGCAAAATGTGTGACGCGGATATATATTTAGGCATTCGCATCCGAGAGACTAGCTAGATATATATTTTATCCGCGGACACTTCGGGGTTTTGGGCTTTCCTTACTTCACAGTTGGTACGTTGCAAAGTTGGCTTTAATGCGAAGAACAGAATCTGATTTTCCAGGGCTCCCACTACCTAAAACCAAGGTTGATCACGAAAGTTGATTTAGAGAAAACCGAAGACGAAATGGACACCTTCGAAGCAGTTCAATAAAAGCTCCTTATAAGGACTATAGTTAGACATAGGTTCAAATCCATATATACTATACCATAAGGAATTCGATTCAAGATATCTATTAATTATAGTTTCTTTTAATTAAACGTAGCGGTAGAAAATTAGGCGGAAGGCTACCTTTTCTACTAGGTTATAGTATGAAGACAACTAGATTAGGTTACGAGTAGATTTCTTAGCTAATACGTCCGGAATCAGGACTAATTAGTAATCACTTAGTAGCAGGGAAGCCTGCCTTGTTGCTAGACACGATATGGAAATTCGGCATAAGCCAATAGAAAGGCAAACACGAAAACACTCACGCGTAGTAATTTAAAAGTTTGGATCACAAGGGACATCACGTTTAGGAGAAGGGATAGGTTTAATATTTAATCTTATGTCCTTAAGCCTTCCTTCTATAAGACGAACCCTCAGTCATTACTAGGAAAAGCGAGCCACACGTATAGGTTATGTTGTCTAGGGGCGACTGCGGCGCTAAGCTAGTCTATCTACCTCTCGGAAAGATACTGTAACTCTTTGCGCTGTTGGTTCTGCCTAAATAAGCTAAAGATACATAATTACGGAAATTCTTAGCGACGAGGGCGACGAATGCGCATTCAAGGACGAATTCCTTTGTCTTGTTAAACAATTGCTATATACATAGCCTAGACCCTAAGACCTACTACGGTCGCGCTGAAGGGCATAGTCCTAGGTGCGCCACTGTAGGGAGCCGCAGGGAGCAGCACCGTAGCGTGGCTATCCTTACTGACCTAGGGTTAACGTAAACTAATATAAATACTCTCGGATTTTGCAAGCTTTGCAGGCTTTATAAGCCTTATACTCTCATTCTTTCTTTCTTTTACATTTCGTGCCGTCGCATCGGTGTGGGAGATCTTATATAGGGTATAAATATCCCAACTATTTACGCAATTATCGCTGGCGGCATTTTCTTGGTATTCTTTATAATCTAGACTCGCTCCGTCCTGATTTAGTGGACGGAGTTTTTTTCTGTCTTTCTGTCCCGATATTTAACTCTCCCTATTATTATTGATAGACATCGAGTCTAGGGTCTATAGACCTGAGCTAGTGTTCTCGTCCACATTTTATATATCACTATTAATGTCGCTCTTGTCTTTATTCGAAATGACTCGCTTATTAGAGCTAGCCGCCGAGTAGGCGAGCTAGGCCTTATTAATATAATTTTTCCTCTATCAGCGGCTCACCTTAGCTATCTAGCTAAACTTCTTAGGATAACCTAGCGCTCCTATCGTAAGATTCACCGTGCTATAGGATAGACGACCGTTGGCCTACTGTTATTCTATATTATCGCCGAGGTTCAAAGTAAGCAGTTTGGCTTTCCTCTTAGTTAAATACGTAATTTGCTTATGGTGATTATAAGTTTGTTCCCCTAGTATAATTATGCCAACTAAGCTAATAGTGGTAGGGTGCTACTTCACTAGGCTTCCTTGCTCTATTTTCCATTTTATGCTTTCGTTGATAGTCGTATAAGATTTTTCTCTAAGGGCATTAGATCTTAGCTAGCCTCTTTGTCTATGGCACTTAGCGGTACCTTCTGGCCTATAACGGTTCGACTATACTATACGTCTATATTGCATTAGGTATATTTAGGATAACAACATCTTTGGAACTGGCGATGATTTTGTATCGAAACGGGATATTTTCCAGCTAAGGTGCTCCTCGAGCTCTTGTTTTATTTATAGTTAGAGAATCTCAGGAGGGAAGTAGTGACGTAATGGCCACGTATATATAAGTCATCTTACCGCGATCAGTGTAGATTGAACCTAGTTAATATATTAACGTGTGGATGCCATCGGTTAGTTTATAGTCGTGGATATAGACGTATCCTTTCACAGTCACTTCTTAGTCTAGAGGGAAACAAGATACTCTGAAGCTACTTATATAGCCCCGAAATAGATTTTCCGCGGATCTCGTTCGTTATATCTCTTTAGCCACAGAAAGCTCTATATCATTCCTAACCCTATTTACTAGACCCTATAGACTCACTGAAGATGTCGAGCTATATAAAACTACCCTATTAATTACGAGCGAATTTGGTATTGCAATATTAATCCTATACCTTAAGAAGATGATCCACGGTTATAATACTTATACGTCCTATATTCGCTAGCTATACTTTGTTTGGTAAGTAGAATCTATTAGTGAGCACCTCTTATATTAGTCTTCGTTCAATTCCCGCTAATAAAGTAGAGTCGGTAATTATGGCCGAAGAGCTACTTAATAACCTACTTAGTGACGATATTTTAGATAAGGGTTATATAGGTCAAATGTTCCCAAAAAGCCTCTACCTCTATGACACTGACTAAGATGACCCTAGATACTTAGTATATCTATATACGTGGAGCACGGGCTCGCTAATAACAAGATATAATTTAGAAAGCATAAGCGATTATATTATTACTAGGGCGTACCGGACTACCGTAGCGTTATCTTATCTAAGGTATCTAGAAGCTAGATAGAGAGGCTACCAAACATTTAGGATAAGCTAGGTCGAACACTAGTTATAGGTAAGGTCGCTTACGTTGACTATTAATACCTTTTTCTTATAATTGAATTAGTTTCTATAGCGGATCGTCTTAGAGATCACCTACGGGAGATTGTTAGAGGCTACCTATATTAAGGTGTCGAGCTTTCAGAACTAGAATACTAGCCTAATTAGGGAAATAATCGGTAGATTTCAAGATAAGATAGTTAGAAGGTTATAGATAGTTAATAATAGTTACACTCTAGATTATATTCTAAGATGCGATATCTAACCTAGAAATAATATTTTGCTTATAGATTTCTATTAGTCTATTCTTCCATCGATTATTGCTAGTGATAGGGAGCTACTAAGCGGACGGTAAAGTTAGGATAGGTGGGGTAGACATCGCCTATACTTACTAGAACCCTAACCTTTCTCTCACCCCGCTCACCCTCGGGGTGAGAACCTATCTACTTTTGCTCACTCGAAAGCCTAACCACGCGTAGATAGGTGGGTCCAGTGTATCCGCCACCTCTTTTTTAAGGGATTCTTAACTTAGCTCTCACCTTTTCTTTCACCTCTAGGGGGAGAGACTACTTTCCTTTCGCTCGCTATAGGCGACGTCCTAAGTTTTCGGGTATAAAAGGATTTCTAGGCGCTTCTATTATAAGTCCTTTATATAGTAGTCGTACACCTAGGCTTCTAGCCTACCGATTATGCCGTTTTCACTGATTTTATTATAGCCCTCCTAGAACCCTCACTTTTCTAGGGCGACACCCTTTATAACTCCCCTATAAATGGGCCTTAGCTCCCTCTTCTCTCCCTCTTTCCTTTAAATAAGTCATTTTGGCATCTCCCTTATTCTATGCTAAACGGCATCTTCTCTTTTAGTTTCGACATTATCACTAGCTACTAACTCGTATTCTCTCGTTTATCTATCTCGGTGTTCTTATAGGCTAGCCCCACTAAAATAGCCACTCTCACGGTCGGCCTTTAGGTACGTACGTCTCTTAGACTAAGTTACGTCTACTTATTTCGCTTAAAGGAGTCCCATCAGAAGTATAGGCTCGAATAGGATCAAGATATATATTCCGATGTAAGCAAACCTCTTTGATTTCTCTTATAAATGATACTTATTTTGTATAGCTAGTTAACTAGATTAGCAAAAGACTAGAATAAATCGGATAAATAAGTAATACTCAGAAGACAGAGGTCTTAACGGGAGCTAAATCGGGAGGTTTTATCTAATAGCACGATCTAGCGACGCTTAATAGTTCGCTCGTTTCTTCAATATACCGGAATAACTACGAGGGTTTATTCTCTGTTATAGTCCGATTTAAGGTGAGCTCGATCCTAGGCACCTCTAGCCTAGCCACTAATAGCTAACTTACTAGGAACCTGATTCGGCGATTAAGCCTATTACTTTAGAAATGAACTAGCTCCGTAAGGTAAGTTAATATAAGGCCGCTATATATATTTATTATTAATCTTAACTCTTTTAAGCTCGCTCGAGGCTTCGGGGCCGATCTAGAGCAGCTTCGAAAGCTAACGAAGCCCTAGGTAGATAAACTCGGCCTTAGACTCGAAAGTGCCGGATTTGTGAATAGCTTTTTAGTATAAGACGCTACGTAGGGTAGTCTTGTAGCATCATTAGGTAACATTAACTTCTACCTAGATCTTCTTATTCGGCCTATCTTACTGTTTAAAGACCTTAAAAGAAATTATTTTATGGATACTATATAGCCTACTATATCACCTTCACTATCTATTATTAACCCTTACCTACCTACACACAATACGCTACTAACTTGCGACGAGGCTTAGTCGTAGATTGATAGTCTATTCCCTTCTAGTGTTAACCAAGATAGTTAGATAGACTAGCTTTTGTATAGCACCGAGGTACCTACGGACACCGTTACTTCGGTAGCAGATCCTATCTATACTAGTGTGCCTCAACCGTCCTTTAGATTGGCATCACTAGAAACTATATCTACACCTAGGCTAGACGAGGGATTATCGTCTTATCCAACACTATTTACATCCTATTAGACCCCTAGCGAAAATATATCTTTAGTGTTAGGCCTAAGTTAAGTTACCCACTTTCGGCTATATCCTAGAATAGCGTCGCCCTCGCCTATAGTTATATCTAGTAACGTCTAGAGACATCCCTGCTACCTAACATCGTCTACCCTTTATATTCAAACTCCTAGAATAGAAGAGGAACTTATCTTATTAGAGTATGAAACTATTATAGTTAGCTAAACGGCCGAAATGTCTAAACTCACTAGCGCTTAGGAGAAGTAGGTATCTAGGAAATTAATTAAAAATATTTTAAAGTAAGCTATCTAAAGCTTATTACGCTCTTGTGGTGCCTCACTCAACGATAAAAGAATTCAGGATATTTTTAACGTGGAGGATAACCTCTTCTCAAAGGACGTTAACAGGTTACTAAGACCTCTATTTAACTATTGGAATAAATTTTAGTTACTCGACCTATATAGACTTAGACTTCCTATGCAATAGAGAGGTATATATATAGCTATAGATTACCTTCGAGTACTAGATATAGACAAGAAGATATATTATTTAAACTCCGTCGCGTAGCGTATAGGATAGGTATAGTTCTATTTTAATTATGAGGAGCTTTATAAACGACTAGAGAAATACTATTCTTATTCCTCGTCTAAGCCTAAGGTCACTAATATTCTAAATTCCATCCTCGATGCCTACCTAGATAACCCCTACGTATTAGAAAAACGGCAGTCTCGCCATAACTAGATCACTAGTTATTATATACAACACGGTAAATAGTGGTGGAGGCTTATAGGAAATTTAGGACTTAGTATACTCTTGGCAGGCGACCCTATAAGGGTTATATATATATCCTATTAAATTTATCTTATAGCTTAACTAACCTTATATACTCTAGGTGCAAAAGTATATTTACTAATCCTTAAATCGACGTTTTCATCACCTTTGTCTAGAAAACTCGTCTAGGCACTATTCGCGCCTTCAAGGCCTTAGAGCCCGTGATTATATCTCTTATATTTAGGTAAATTATATCTAATCTCCATAAGACTATTTTCGACTAGGAGGCTAGTCTTCTTAGGCCTAAAGAAATAGTATATATTTGTGGTGATAATAAGGCGGCCTCGGCTTCCTAGCGCCCCGAAAATCCCTAGAAAATAGTGGACGCTAAGAAAGATGCAATACGAAGGATAATAGAGCTTCTTAGCTAAAATCCTTGCAAAGAAGTAATATACTAGTAGGCGAGCCTTTAATATCTATTTTAGAATAGGGAATTATTAGGAATTCTCGATCTTTAGTTGCCTTCGTGCTTTTATCACCACTAAGTTTTTTATTATCTTCTTTAAGTCTTAGTCTTTTCAATTACTATTTATAGAGTTCTGTCACCTATAATTACATGATATTAGACTCTAAGATATATAGGACTAAGAATGAAATATAAATTAGACACTTAGTTATCTAGTCCGTTCGTGATATATTTAGCTCACCCCTCCTTGGGCGGTGCACCCTATATATCCATTATTATTTATCTCTAACTAAACTTATTGGAGTTAACTAATATAGCCCTCACTCTCCTTCGCACGCTCGATGAGCCTATTTATTTTCTTTCGGCCAAGGGTATATACGAATAGAATATATAGATAGATATAAGAGCGAACTATATAAGTCCGATTAGATCGCCTAGGCACTATTAGGTCTCTATTAATAGGCGATGCTAAGAACTAGTGAGTGATTTTCGAAATCGGGATTAGAGTATATAAGGGCTCACGAACTCTCTTTAGCTCCTCAAAAGAGCTAGCTAAGGTGGTCGCGGAGAGAAACTCGATAGCGGCTAGGTAGGTCCGCTAGCGTTCAAGGTTATTAATCCTAATAGCCCTATCGTCCTTAGTGTATTTTTGTATTAGTTCCATTATTACTATTAAAATAGGAGCTAAATCGCTAGCTCGAATTTTACCTACCTACTAGATCACGCAGTAGTTAAGGCGTACTATTAATTTTTTTAGGCAACGTACCGAGATATATTTATAGACTAAACTTACCGATTTTTACCTCCCTATTAAGATTTATTAGGACGCTAAAACAATTTAAAGAAGTGTGATAGAAGCTTTAGGCCACTATATACGATAATCCCTCGAGAAACTATATATAGTTAGCGACTTCGTAGATTACGCGAGAATAATCGAGGTACGAGCCTAGTATATAATAGTAGCTAACTGCTACTAGTCTAGAAAGGCTTTATAGGCGATAATATAATCTAACGTAAGTGGATCAAACTCGCAAAGATTATATAGCGCATTAGGGGTGCGGAAACATTCCTAAACGGAAGCTATATTCTTATAATCTATAGAATAGAGGATGCCTAGGATTTTATTAGTGTCTTCGCTAGAGAATCGGCGAATCGCACGTACGGCGCGGCTATTAGAGGTTCGAATATATATAGCAATAGTGCTAGCTAGATCGCACTTATAGTATTTCTTAAAAGTATCCTAGGGAGATTCATCGCGTATAATCAAGTCTAAGTCGGTATTGTTACCTAGTCTACTAGTCTCTTGAAGAGCTAAGTCCCGTAGTAAACCTTATATTACCTTCCCACTAGGCTCTACGAATATAGGCGGGGCAGACCTTTTGCCTAGGCGTATATTAGGAGATAGTGGTTTTGGCTTCAACTTAGGCTTAGGAGATAGTCGTTCCTTAGCTATAGTCTTAGGTAGAGGCTACTGTAGAAGGGCAACTTAGTGAGGTTAGAGCCTTATAGCTTGCTTATCATTATTCAACCCTATAGCTAGATAGTCAAAAATCTAAGTTTAAAGAAGCAATATAAGTGACAAAGAAGAAAGCACTACTACACTACGATTTTAAATAATTCCTCGGATAAGGTGCTACGAACGCTACAGTACACTACGCGAACTCTATAAGTGGGGGTTATACGGATAGGCGTAATGCTATCGTAGCGGAGGCGGATTTAAAAGATATCTACTAATATATAAGCTTTTACTCCTTAATCCCACTCTACCTTTCGCTTTTATCCGTGTCTCGTAATGACTCGAACGTTATTTATAGAAGAAGAGGTGCGACTAGTAATAGAGCGGCGCCTAAAATATATTAGAGCCGCTAAGGTTAGTATTAGTTAAATTTAATTCGATCCTCCTTTGCCCTAAGATCTAGATACTAAGAATATAGCTCGACTCCATAGCGTGTTTCGTAAGAACTATTGTCGCCGCCTAGATATTAATAATTATATCCCTACAATTGTATCACGGCATAATCTCGCTAATGCCCTACGAAAGGCGAATATTCTATAGTAGTCGCTACTAACGAATGACGCTTATTAATTACCCCGACTTAGGTTTATGGCCGGGCAACTTCAAGGTCTCTATAGCCACCATCGCGTATAAGTAGGGGTCGAGATACTCCCTCTAGCTAATCGTTGGTGGACGGTAGATCTTTACTTAGATAGTATATCGAGAATGATTTAACCGTTTCTATACTAACCATCAACGAAGATATCGGCGAAGAACTAAGAACCTTTTTAGTGGAGGAATATGCTAACTAGAAGAAGCCGACTAACGGAGACATTTACCGTAAGATCCGATAATACGAGGGCGAGTATAACGAAGCTTTTAGGGAGCGATGGTTTATATATCTATCGTAGAGTAATTAAGAACGGTTAGACTAATTAGATAATAAGAGAAACCGCCATCTATAGCGCGCCTTTAATAGGCTACTGGCTATTCCTAGGCTTTGGCAAGGAATAAGGATTAGTGTGCTTCACTAGCTAATAGCCTCGGGCTATATAGAAGTGAGTTCCTAAACCTATACTTAGACTACCTCCGCTTATTATATGATTCGACCTACTATAGGAAATAATCACTTATCTTGATTATATCTAGGAGTTCTAGTCCTCCTTAGTCGCCTTAGATAGTGCTACAATAAAAAAGATCGACTAGGATACCGTCGAATCACTATAGCTACTAGCACTAGGTAAATGCCACAAGGACGCCAAAATAGCCTATAGACTAGTTCTGAGTGGGTAAGCGTTCGCTAGGTTCAGTGACGAAGAACGTAAAATCATATAGGACTAGATACAAGATTTCGACGGCCTAATCCTATCTTTATACACCTTCTTCAAGGATTTTAAATACCTAGAAAGCTATACTTATTATGTAAAGCGACTTTACGGCCCATCGACTGGCTCGGTCTAGGAAACTATAAGTTTAATGTTTACTATATTATCAGAAGAAGAGGAAGAAATTCCCAAGGTAGCTAAATATATAATTTAGACCTCTAAGTCTACTTTTCGACGGCAGCCAGCGACCGATATAGAACGTCTCGAGACGATATATTTATAGGTGTGGCTATACTTAATGAGGCACTATCCTCTAATGTCGCTAGACCCTAAGAATAATGACGAATTGTTAGCTAAACTAGCTCGTGCTAAACCAAATAAGAGAATAGTTTTTAAGATAGCCAAACTCGCTCGCTAGCTAGGGTTCGCGTCGCTAGAAATTAGTGCATTAATTAATAGTTCTCCGGATTATTAGATCGCACGATCAGCTCTACTAAAGGCTAGAAAACCTTGCCGGTATCGATACGACCGTTAGTAGTTTGATATTTTAGTTAACTAGATTATAAAATTTTTTGTAGAGGCTATTCCTAATTAGCCTAATCTCTCGCTAGATCTTCTAGTAGATAGCGCCGTGAAGCTATAGGTTCGCTCCGAGGTGCTATAAACACGGACTTATAACTAAGATAGCCTATTACTATTCCTAGACTAATTATACGCTAATATTACGGTCGCGGATACGATCACGAGCTTTTTTGTCCGCTATTATATCTACTTTGCATTCTTCGGAAAGTCTATAAAGTATAGCCCTAGCCACATTAGCGATAATCAAGACGCTGATGCGGATTAAGGCATAGCGGACGTACCTCGGTCGCTATTATTTATCGGAGAGGAAAGCTCGTCTAATATTAATATATCCGCAGTTCATATAAACTTAACTAGTAAGCCTTCTCGCCGTGAATAGGAGTCATAAGTATAGAGGGTCGAACGGGATAAAGCACGACTGTGTATAAGATATTAGTAGGCGCTAAGGGCTAAAAGAGAGCGTGATATCTTGAGACGTCGACGGAGATAGAAAGGTTAGATATATAGACTTGCTTCGGACCTTAGGAATAGTAGAGACTAAGAGCCTATAGAGCTAGAAGTACTTAACATAGAGATAAGGGATTAGGAGATATTAGATTAAAGCGATCCATCTAATAAAGACTATGCCCCTAAGGAAATATAGAGTAAATCAGCACTAGTGGATAGAGCGTTGGTTAGTATATATTCCTCCTATAGCTCTTCTACCCCGGAAGTTAAGGATGCGATAAGTGATTATATAAGGGTCTCTATCGAAGCGATCCCGCTTAAGTAGGAGACTAATAAACGAGCAATAATCGAGGGCTAAGATCGAGATAAAGCTCTCGATGATTAAAACCAAACCGATTATATAGTACGGCGGGTGTCCCTAAGGTCCGATGTGGATAATTCGTCGAATATTAGTGGCCTTTATAGATAGCAAGAACTAGATAACTTTCTTACTAGTCTAATAAAGGCCTAGGAAGAGCAGGAACGAGTGAAAGAGGAGATAGAGCGTAAACGACTTTATAAAGAACTTAGCCTATCCTAGTAAGCGCGGACGCGTAAGGAAGAGTCTCAACCTAAAGACTAGTAGATTTCACCACCGCTAGCTTTAGGTTACTAATAGACGGAACCAACGTCGGAGAACGCCGACCTCGCCACGCCGATTCACTAAGATATTATCACGATTAGTCTAAGTGAGACTTCCTCGGTAGATAAGTATACGCCTCTAGTAACGATGAAGGGGCCGCCGCGACCACAAGACCTAGTTAAGATTTAGTTCTAGGTCCTTAAGCGAGAGCAGTGGAAGAAGTCAGACTATCTCCTTGTCGACTAGTCGGATCCTTCGTAAGTAAAGCGAGTTACGCAAAAGTATATATAGAAGGATTACTTACTCTATGATTTAAATCTATATAGCATTAGCCCTACGAACTATTACCGCGCCGCAATCGCAGATAGCAATAACGCTATATTCTTGATTTCCGAGGAGAAGGAAAAAAGGCTTACGGCTAAGGGCTAACTCGTTAAGGATAAGCAACTTTTATTAATGGCTTCTCGAGTTTTAGATTAGGTAGAAGAGGATCAAAATATATATCGTGCTTCTATATAGCGATTATGAATTCCCTTTTAGGTCAGGCATAGATATATATAGCCCGAAATAGGAAGTTTTAATAAAGAGGAGCTATGTCGCCCTAAGAGAGACCTTTAAAGAGGGTTAACGAAATAGAAAATATTTCCTATATCTATCATAGGACTAAGTAGAGCTTCTCGTAGATAAGTTAGCAAGAAGCTAATAATAGTAAGGTATTTCTAGGTAGAGTATCTCGAAAAGTGACTAGGCTTAGGATAGTGTAACTAGAAACTCTCTTCTAGGAGGCATTAGCTCCTAAGAGAATCCTCTTAAGAGGAAATTAGTACTATAAGACCTAACTAAAGAGCACGAACTAATCAAGAGCAGAGACTTTATATAAAACCTATTTTTGTACCGCTTCCCTCTTATAATCATTATTCTAGATCTCCCTTCGTCTTAAGGGTTGCACTAGTTATGACTAACCTTCTATTATAATAAATAATAACCTTTTTTAGCCTTCCTTTAAATACCGCTTGTCTTCCCTCTTACTTAGTAATCAAAAATCGAGGATTGGCTAGCATCTAAATATTAAATATAGAGACCTTTCTTTGTCTAGCCACTTAATTTAATCTTCCCTTCGTGATAATTATCGCTCGACCGCACTATAGATCTTATTTTACTACTAATAACGTGCATTCTTTATAGGTGTGGCTTCTTCTTATATAGTTTTAAATATTTTCGTGTAATCCTTAGTAAGTATATTTTTAGTGCTATTATTTTAGGGTTTTACTTTTTTATTTATCGACCTAGAAGGTAGTACTATATTTCTAATTTTTTTTGTCTGCCTAATTTCTAGAACGTGCTTAGTGAAAAGACTGGCTTTCCTAGTTAGCTACTACGAAGAGGTTCTTAACTAAGCGGTCCTGATTCCAGACGTATTAGCTAAGTAATTGACTATATATCTAACTAATCGTACATTAAGGAGAGATCTATCACTGCTTCGGTCGGAATAGTTACAATAGGGCAGTAGAAGGCCTAAATTATACTTTACTCGACGCTCTATATACGTACGTCTATATTGGTCCTTATAAGCCTATACAAGACACCTATAACCTACGGTCCCCTATCACCCATCAAAACCGCAGTCTAAAATATCTATCCTCTTAGTACCGCATAATCTTTCCAAGATATAGTAGGGCACTAGAAGACATAAATAACTCGCTCCACTTTAGCCTATATATTTTACCTATACTAAAGAAAACCCTATCTTATCTCCCGTAGAAGTATATAAGCGCCCACTCTATTATATACTTAGAAACCTATAGGTACCTCCCTCTAGCTTATAAATCTAGAGTTCCCCTCCCCCCTCTCTAGAGCGCTTCGCTCTCGTATAGACACTATCCTTCGATCGTTAAGTTTTATAGCTAAGATAACCTATGCTCCCACCGCGGTGTACGCTAAGTATATAGCTCTTAGCTACTTCTTTTATTAAGTTCCTTCTCCAGTCGTTTAAAATATAATTAATTAGTCGTTAATCGAGCAAAATAATTACGCCTTACCTTTTGTTAAAGAACGTGAGCTAACCGAAGTTCTTATATTCCTAGCAAAAACCAAGGATAGGTTAGATTATATACCTACAGTTTACATTGAATAGAACCCACCTAGAATAAGTTTAAATATTATCTTAGCTATTAACAAAAGTATCTATAATAATAGAGATAACACTTTATAAAAGCTAAAAAGAAGCTTTAAAGAAATATTCCACGTACTTTATGATTCGCAATATAGTTGGTCCTTACTATTTTACGTCTAATAGTAAACCTTAACAATTTTTAAAGTTAGAGATAAGTCCGAGGTCCAAAGAGAGATTTTTGCGTCAATCATCTTAATGTGCTCACCACGAGTACTATACCGGTTGAGGCTCGAGCGGAAGGCAACTAAGAGATCTATTTAAGATCTACTAAAAGAGGCCATCTTTAGTATTCGATAGATTAATTCCTGGAAACTTCACGTCAAAGAGTTATTAGTGATATCGTCATTATTTATCTTAGAGGTAAATAAGGTTATATAACTAGTTAATCGATGGTTGAACCACCAAACTCTAAATAAGCTAGGTGATCTTATAGAAGGGATATATCACTTACAATAAGCAACACCACACTTTAACGATTTGCTAAACCTAATCCCAAACAATAATATAGATCCATCCTCGAGATCTAGTTTATTGAATATTATCAGAAAGGTCTTAAGATACTAAGGAGCTGCTAAGCAACTATATCGAACGGCAAAGAAATTTTTATTAGTCCGGAATATAAAAATTCAATTAGTAAGCCTACCTTAAAAGGCATTCGAAGGTCAAATAAATTCCAGCGAGTTCTCTAACCTATATTTATATTTATCTAGGCTTGGATTCGTTAAGGGCCAATAATATAGGGTGTCCTAATTATGCCGTAACTTAAGGGTTGATAAAAACGCTGCCTGTACTAGGTATAAAGGAGCTCAAAAAGCTCTTTTAGCACCTAAAATCCACGCTAAAATTTAAATCATCGCTTTTTGCGAAATATAAGCCCCAAAATTATTCCCACGAGTGGTTAGTTCAAGCAAAGACGCATATTTTTTGTGCAACACTTTCATTCAACTATACGGACGAATATATACCCCTAGAGCGTATAGGCGGCTTTACCCTAGCTAGAGACTACCGAATCTCCCATAATTAAGAGGCCTCTAGCAGAAACTCAATAAAAGTCTTATTGAAAGTCTTCGGCATAACATTTCACTAGGGTTAGCTTAGAAGAAGCTACCGATTCGTCCATTTCCCAACGAAAGCACTATTCTTACCTTATCGGCTTCGGACACAATAGTGAGTATACCGGTGCTTATATTAGAGAGCTTAGGAAAAATGATTTCTTCGATTGACTCGTATATTACTTTGTCGGGCGATTCACTAGAAGACGGCTCTTTATTGGCAATCGGCCGATTTTTATACTATGAGACTCCTTCGGATAATTTTATTAATACCGTTTACCTACTCGAGGGAGAACTAGTCAATGATTTTGTGAAATATAATAGGCGTTTTCGTCTTATTCTCACAGAATCTCTTAAGGTACACCTCGGTCTCGAGGATGAATCAGCTTCCATAACTGGGAAAGAACCACTAGGGTATAGGGTCAAAAGGTTTATAGCCGACAGCATTAAATACCTAAGTGAGACATGTCCTGTTGTTGATGTGCGGCTGCTCGAGGGCGAAGTTTTATGCCTATTATCTAAAGATAATGCATTCTGCCTTGTTGCTGGGGATGTGGTGTTAAAAATCAATACTTATAGATAAGATAAGGATGAACAGAAGCATTTCGTCAGGCGCTATTGCGCCCGTGAACAAGGGTTATATCTAAAGCAGGAAGCAGGCATACTGTATCGATATACAACAGGAAGATGAAGGGTGGAGAAAACGGTTAGCAGAAAGCAGAAGTTGGGGCCACTGAAATGGCGACATAATTATGCGATTTAATCTAGGTCAGACAGTAACTTTTAGAGGATTTGTAGGGGAACGAAGGGGGAGGGTGCATAGTGGAATGGAGATATATCATCCTAACACGATCGTTATGGGCTTGCTAGAAACCAGAGGCACGCTATGAAAGTTAACAGTCTAATTTATTACAATTCATGTGATAATACGGCTCAATACTGTACATCTAAGCGGGTGTCCGTGAAATACTACTAATTCCGTGGAGACGAGGAATTGATTCCGGTGTAATACGATATCCCACAACAAATTCTAGTAATAAGTTATAGTGTATGTGAGTCGGATCCGCTGAATTTACGGATAGTAAGAATAAAGAAAATAGTATTTGGAGTACTGAAAATAGATATGCTAATCTAAAACGTTACTGCGACGCAGGATGTGTCCAACATCTAGGCGATGGAAGACCGACCGTATTACGTGAAAAGCCTGGTCTTTCACACGAGCCCTGTGGGCGGTAGTTAACACCTCAATTTTTGTGTCGAAGCGAAACTTGCCCCTAGTTGGTATAGTTGCAAACTAACTAGAGCATAACATCCAATTATTTATAGTCATTCTCGAAATCGCCTTAACTAATGTACACTGAGAAACTCTTTCCTAGCCCCACCGCGAAGACCTTAGCGCAGATCATTTATTGAGCGGGCCACATAAAGTTAGGGGCTCACTAAAATGCGCTGTGTATGTTACCGTAATATGTGACAGAAGATGACATTAGGCGTACGAAAAGATAATATAGAATTCCACGGAATTCTATGGTGGATCTCTGCAAATCATATGGGGAAGGCCCTTCGCGCTAAGTAACTTGAAGATCTGCTGGGAGACCTCTTTTCTACTTCTTCTCCGCCTCCTATTGTGCAGGATATGTTACAGTGTGTCCCGAAACTGTTGCAACCGCCTACACTCTTCGAATGATTATCTAGCCCCGCGAGTAACCCTTGAATTGAATGTTCCTGTAACAATTCTTGATGGCTATAGCCCCCTGTTCTAGTCTATCAGAGAAAGTTACTTGAACTTTCATTTATATGAGTTCAATCTCTTCTGCGCACAATCCTTTAAGGTCAACAAACTCTCCTCGTATGATTCCGTGTACATAAGCAATGTCGATTTTCTTTAAATGCTTCTCACTTCCTGTCTTTCGCAACACAACCAGTGTTGGCATTCCAGCGATGAGCCACACCTCATCACCTTTTCGCACATTTTCGGTTCCCTTACCTAGAAGGCCTTCTTATGTACGGAAAAGTACTAGGCGGATCGTACTCGTCCGTTCTTCCACAATATTACGGAATTTCTCACGGGCAAGGATTATATCCTTCTGTGGCGTACGCACTTTCGGAAATTCCAGAAGTATAGTGAGGTTAGGAAAGAAGTCTATGTCACTCTCAGCTAATGTCCTAATCGTCCTCTGAAGGTCCGTTAGAATACGGAAGTA